CACTGGATGTTAGGATTCCAGGTGGCCTATGACTCCCCAACAACCAGCTTGAGTAGGAAGCTGTTACATTTAGCAATGGTAGTAATACCGCTGCTAAATATTTTTCTTTCCACTGCATGCAGCAGTAGGTTCAGCTCAGCTGAACACCCTATTTAGTTTAGCTGTTTGTCAAACTCCAAGGGTGATGGGCACACTGCTCAACAAGAAAATAAGAAAAGTATAGTGGAGCCACAATCCACCATGTCACGTGGTGTCAGGTAATCCAGCTGGTGGTGGGTCTCACAATATTAAAACTTCACTAACTCTAATCCACCAAACGCAGTGTACAATTTCAAAATCACAACACAGGAGTGCTAAATCATCTCTTATTTTTTTAGAGCAGAATCAAACAGTACAAATGTTAAAAATTGGAAAATGAATGGAAGCTTATGTCAAGAAGCTTCACTCGGCCAAGTCAGATTAGATGTTATTAATTTATCCTCTTATCGTTTTCTAGGGATGAGATGCAGATACGTTCTTTTGGCCTACATTTTTGTCCTTCATATGATTTTAATAAATTTAAGATGATCAAACATTTGCAGCTCTTTGCGTGAAAGCTGATTCCTAACTATTCAGGAATGTTAAGCCCTGAGGAACTTGACACTATTATTAGAGGAAAGTTGCCCTTTGGATCTGATCAAGGAGATTGATCTAGATTTGATATTGTCCAATGTCCCAGAGTCTCGTGGAACTAAATTAAATTTGGTCAAACATTGAAAAAGAAATCACAAAACTCTCTTTTCCTAGTATCAATTCTAATGTGGCTGTAAGTAAATCCCAATATAAGAATGTATTAGAACTCAATTTCAAAAATTCCTGTGTTTTATGAGTTACCCAAAATACAAATAAAAAAATACAGAATGAAGCCCCCTGGCTGCCCAATAATTTTGGGCAAGGCGGCTAACTGAAAATGCAAGCAAGTATATCGATTCAGTTTTAGGCCATTTGTTTTCAGTGTTCTATCATTTGTCAAAGATATCATTATTTTCTACAGATCATTGGAAATGTAGTTGTCCCTGAGAGAGTGCTAATCATAACAATAGATGTATAAGCGCTTTATAGTTCCATTCCACATGAAAAAGACCACTGGGACATAGGACAACTTTTGTAGCAAGGAGTACAGCAAGAACAGGAATTTAACAACTTTGTTCTTGATCTACTCAGGTTCATACTTACCCATAATTTTTTTTTCATTTGGCTCCCACTTGTGATGGATCACGGAAGGATGTGGCACACATAAATAGGCAACATTTTCATCATCTGGTATGGATCTAAATCAGTATTGTGGAACTGCCTGTCATATACAGTATGAGCTCTGATAAATACAATTTAAATTTCACCATGTCCTGTCATCTTGAGCATATCACATTTTTGGATGTTGAGATACAAGTGGGAAGTTTGGGTCGTTTAGAGCATACACTATAAAGAAAATCAAGAGCAAGCAATACTATTTTATATGCAAACATCTTTCATACATCTTTTCAACACCTTTAATAAATTCATACCCCTATAGTCAGTACTTATACCAGTGATGGAACTGTTCTGAGAAAAATAGCTTTACTCCTGTGCACAGAAAGCACAAGCTTTAAAACTCCAGCTATTGGACCATAGGTATACCTGTTTAAGAAAAGTTTTTAAAAGAGCAGTACAAAAATCGTGCTCTGAGTTATTATATCAAATTAAACAAAAGAGAGTACCCATCCCACCACTTGTAAAATTATTAAATATTTGAATCAACATGCAAAAAAGGTAAGAAAGGAATATCATTTCTAATTACTGTCTATTACTAACAGCTGATCTTAGAGTAGGGAAATATGTTGCAGAGGAACCCAAAATTACATTCCGTTAGGCTATATCTTTATGCAATAAGCTAGCACAAAGTAAATATAGTGACTATAAAAAGGACCTTTATATGATACTGGGAAACTTTGCATGAGATAATTGCAACTATTGTACATTCATTTATACAGAGAAAATTGTGATTTTACCAAATGGTAAAAAATACAATCCAAAGCACTTTGTAAATTGCAACACATAGGGTTGATTTACTAAATCTAGTGAGTGCAAAATCTGGTGCAGCTGTGCATGGTAGCCAATCAGATTCTAACTGCAGCTTGTACTGTTAAGCTTTGAAAAAAAAAACTGGAAGCTCATTGGTGTGCACAGCTGCACCAGATTTTGCACTCTCCAGTATTAGTAAATCAATCCCTATGGGTGAAATTTACCTTTTCTGATGTGGGGCATTTTAAGTGGGGAAGACAAGAAGGAAATGATGAAAAGAGGATTTATGTTCATGTAAGTGCATTCAATACTGGAAACATTTATAGTGTGTTAGGCAAACACTTGACAAAAGAACCCAAGTACCACGTACCAGCAGTAAAATGTTTAGCACTTTATAGGATACATCCAAACACAAGAGAAGCTAATTGGAATAGGAGAATGAGAGAATGTGAGCTAAAATGGGTTTACAAACTACAAGCGGTCACCCCTCCAGGTTTAAATGAGGCAATGAATATTGACCCATTTTTGGATAGTTTTTCATTAGAAAACTTGAGATCCAAAAGGGCTTTCCATTCCTCTCCTAATCTAAGAATGTTACAATCAAAGATACCTGTTATTATAAGTAACAGACATGATTATTTTTGTTGGTAATGCATATTGTGGTTATGTTATGTTTTTATATTTGTTTTACATTTTTTTATGGTATGTAACCTGCATTAGATGGCCTTGCTTGTGTTTTGGATTGTTTCCTTCAGGGTTGATGTGGAGCTTTATGTTTCCAGTCATCTCAGAAAACACCCAGATCATCTCATTCATTTCCTGAATGGCCATATTTAGGTTCTTCTACATGTCTGTTCCTTGTGGATGGTGATTCCTGCCTCCTTATTGGGTTAATTCATGTAATTCCCCCACCTATGAGTTGGGGAATGCTAGAATGCAGTTGCCGGTGCCACTTCTGGGATTATGAAGGTTTGGTTCTGTGCATGCCTTTGAGCACACTGTGATAATGAAAGTGAGATGTTCACAGTGAGCCAGCGGGATAACTTCATGGCCACAATGTCTATCAGCATGGCATGAGACACAGGGGGGAGACGCCCCAAGGAGGATGTTTTTCATCCCCTTTTCTGGCACCCTCTTACTAATTTAAAGTATTACTAAACCCACAACAGTAAAATCAGTCTGTATATGTAGTAAAGCATGCTTGTTATACTCATTGTGGAACCGAAGGGGTAATGAAATCCTCATTGTGTAAAAAGGATGTGTGATCCTGTCTTCTCTGATCCTCCCTTTCTTCTACTGTCCCCAGTCCATCTGCTGAGAGATCAGAGCCTTGGGGGCAAGCTGCACATGCTCAGTTTGGTGTGTATTGCTAGAGAGTTTTTTTTTCTCTTGGAAGAGTGCATGTGATCAGCACAGAACCAACCAGCGCTGCCCAGACAGAAGGTCAGGAGTTATGCAGCCTCATAGGATAATCAGGAGAGAATGAAATCTCCTCCTACAAGGTTTAACCACTGCTCTGCTGAACACTGATAGAAGTCACAAGACTGCTCTAACTACTAATGGGAAAAGGTATTTAGCAGTTTATAGTTACTAAAATAATTGCATTTCAATGTTCTGTGTACTGTGGTAAACCAGTTATAATGAATGCAGGGTCCTGGGTTTAGTAACACTTTAAACACATAAGGATAATGGGTTTTTATTTTTGAATGGCTGCCTTTGGACGAGGTTGATATTTACTTGACAAATATATAGAGTGGCCTGCAGTGTGACGCTGACTTGCATTTATTGAGTGGTGTGAAGTGGGTGTAGCACAAATGGACCTTCGTGGTAAGATATAACAAAACTTACTTGATATTATTGATGACGTGGACTTCCAATATTTGTACTTCTCAGTCTATATACTTTGTAGTGCAGTGACACTTGTGAATAAGTTGTCCCTAAAGTCCACTCTTATACATTATGTTTACTTTAATATGGATTAAAATCTTATGGTCCTCACCCTATATGTTTAAATCTACATACATGGTTTTGCTTGGCCCTCTTTTGAGCTTGGATGTGTGGTGTTTACCAATGAGACTTATAACCTGATAATTACATTATGTGATAGCTTTAATTTAAATGTTTACCAGGAAATATACAGATATATTACATTTCCTTTTTTTATCTAGAATTCATTTGGTGGCATTTTTTGGCATCCCTTGTTTGCTCTTGGGTGACTATGGATGGTAGGGGGCTCAGCTCTTTACTATGGAGATGATAATTCATACAGATTGCATTTTAAAGATTGACCAAAATGGTAACAAGATGTATGTATACAATTTGCATGAGTGCCAATAAGTCTTTAACCACTACCCTACAGGGCACTTATACCCCCTTCCTGCCCAGGCCAATTTCCAGCTTTCAGTGCTGTCACATTTTGAATGACAATTGCGCGGTCATGCAACACTGTACCCATATGACATTTTTATCATTTTTTTGAGACAGATAGAGATTTCTTTTGGTGGTATTTAATCACCTCTGGGATTTTTATTTGTTCTTAAACAAACCAAAAACCACTGAAAATTTAAAAAAAAAACGTTTTTTCTTAGTTTTTGTTATACAATTTTTTAAATAAGTGATTTTTCTCCTTCACTGATGTGCGCTAATGAGGCTGCAGTGATGGGCACTGATAGGCTGCACTGATGGACACTGATAGGTGGCACTGATGGGCACTGATGAGGAGGCACTGGTAGGTTGCACTGATGGGCATTGACAGGCATCACTGATGGGCACTGAAAGGCAGCACTGATACATGACACTTATACATGACACTGATATATGGCACTGATATGCGGCACTGATAGGCAGCACTGCCTGGCACTGATATGTGGCACTGACTGGCACTGCTAGGCGGCACTGACTGGCACTGATATGTGGCACTGACTGGCACTGATGCGCACTGATAGGCAACATTGACTGGCACTGATAGGTGGCACTGATTGGCAGCACTGATAGGTGTCACTGATTGGCATTGATAGGTAGCACTGACTGGCACTGATGGGGGACATTGAAAGGCAGCTCAGATGGGCACTGATATGTGGCATTGAAGTGCAGTAGTATGCACTGATATGTGGCATTGATGTGGCACTGATGGGCACTGGCACGTGGCACTGATGGGCACTGGCACGTGGCATTGATGAGCACTGACAGGTGGCACTTCTTGGGCCACACTGATCATCAGGGCACACTGATCATCAGTGCCCTGATGATCAGTGTACACGTGTCCTCCGCAGAAAGCCAATTACCGGCTCTCCTCCCCTCTCGAGCTGTCAGCGTGACAGCTCGAGAGGAGGGAAATGCCAATAACCGGCATTTCCGTGTTTACATGTGATCAGCTGTGATTGGACACAGCTGATCACATGACCGAGCCAACATCTTCGGCTCTTTCCGTGATCCGCTGTGTCCAAGGGACATAGCGCACCAGCGATCGCCGCGCTGCACACTCCCTGAGCCGCGCATGCACAGTGAAAATGGTAGGATGTCATATGACGTCCTATCAGAACGAGAGAACCACCTTGTGCCTGTCATTGTACTATAGGGCGGGCGGAAGGTGATTAAACATGATGGGACTTTTGTCTTATTATATACATTATGTTTCAGGTACAGTGAGGAAGGAGTGTTCCCAATGCAATTTTTTTTATATGAACTCCATCAATATCTGATAAGAATTTATGTATAACTAATATGTAAATTATAGACACATGGCATAGTTATAAAATGCAGAAAATGGTCATATGCATGTTTTTTTATCTATATTTAATAAAGTGAATGTAATTTTTTAATTGTATTTATGTTGTGTTACCACAATCTTTATCCATGTGTCCTAAAAAGTTTATGTTACATATTGTTTGTTCAGTTTACACTTACAAAGCTGTTTGAATTTGGCAAAGCTGGCAAAAAAAACTTTGGGCATGGGGCTGATTTGGGGACGCTATTTTTCTTGACTACCGCAGCGGATACAATAAAAAGGCCCATTAAAAAAGCACTGCATAGCACCTTTAGGGATAAAGGCTTTTTCAGAGACCGAAGAGTCTGAAGTTTCTTTCCTGTGGAAGAAACACCATGGTTCAGGATAAATCCCAGATTTTTCAAACAGTGGGTCAGAGTCATCAACAATGTTTGAAGGTTCAGGATGTATATGAAACTCTAACATTTGGACAGTCAAGGAGACAATGGAGTTAGTTTATTAAATACAAAAAGGCTGTTCATTTTGCAAGGTAAGTTGTCCCAGAACCTAGAAAATGTGGTGAAGGTTTCACTTTGCAAAGAATACCTAATCACATGCAAGGAAAATTGAAAATAAAAAAAAAAAAAAAAAAATTTTGCTTGCACACAATTGGATGTTAGAAGTCAGCAGAATGTTACCTCATTCACTAAGCAAAACGCAACTACCATTGCAAAATAGCCTGTTTGCTAACCAAGTATCAGGATAACTTGTGAGTGTAAAATGATTGGTGAACATTACAAGGGCAGAGGAAAGGTCAAATAAACTATTAACATCTTGCTGACCAGCCACTGTAGAAATACAGTGGCAGGTCGGCACGGCTGGGCAAAACCACGTTTTAAAATGTGCGTTTGCAAAACAGGTAGGGGGCGCGTGCCTGCCCTACCCATCCCGATGATCGCGGCCGCGGGTGTCAGTCGCCGGGTCACGGTCGGTCATTACTGGCCGTGTCTCGCTGATTAGCGGCAATTTCTGACAGAGAGCAGGGCTGCAGTAGCTCTGCTTTCTGTCAGTCCCCTGTCAGCTCCTGACATGCTCATCTGGAGAGAAGAGTTTATCTCTCCGGATCAGCCTTGTTCCCCTGCAGTACACACCCCCGCCCCCTAGTAAAACACTCCCCTCACACAGTTAACCCATTCAGTAAATAAAAATGTTAACCCCTTCCTCCCCAGTGCCATTAGTACAGTGTCAGTGTTTTTTTTTTTTTGCACTGATCACTGTATTGGTGTCACTGGGGATGTCAGTGACCCCAAGTCAGTTCCTCCCCAGTGTCAAAATGTCCGCCGCTGTCCCGCAGTCCTGCCATAAGTCGCTGATCGCCGCCATAAGTCACTGATCGCTGCCATTATTAGTATAAAAAAAAAAAAAAATCCCAGTATCTTTCCCGCCTCTTGTAAACACTATAACTTTCACGTAAACCAATTAATTTACACGTATTGTTTTTTTTTTTTTAGCAAAGACATGTCGCAGAATAATGTTTTTTATAGCAAAAAGTCCAAAATATTGTTTTTTTCCCCAAAATTGTCAGCCTTTTTTTTATAGCGCAAAAAAAAGGATGTAAATTTCATTTATGTACCGCATGACCGTGCAATTGTCCGTTAAACTAGCGCAGCGCTGTATAGCAAACAAATGGCGTAAATTGCAGTATCTATATCATAGCTTGTAGATGCTATAACTTTCACACAAAGCAATCAATATACACTTATTGGGATTTTGTTTACCAAAAACATGTAGCAGAATACATTTTGGCCTAAATTTATAACCAACTTTGAGTTTACTTTATATTTTTTATAGCTGAAAGTAAAAAATAATGTTTTTCTTCAAAATTTTTTGTCCTTTTTTGTTTATAGCATGAAAAATAAAAAGCGCACAGGTGATCAAATTACACCGAAAGAAAGCTCTATTTGTGTGAAAAAAAGGACGTAAATTTCATTGCGTAATTTTCATTGCATTTAAATGCAGCATTGCATGACCGCGCAATTATCAGTTGAATTAGTGCAGCGCCGAGTAGCAAAAAGAGGCCTGGTCATTAAGGGGGGTAAATCCTCAGGAGGGTAAGTGGTTAATGCTGGTGGGAAAGATGGGTACATGTAAATGAGCATCCTTTATGTTCACAGAGGTAAAAATGCCCTCTTGATACAGAGAGGTAAAACTGTTCTCATTGATTTCATCAAAAATGTTTGGACATACAGTAAATGTAAGTTATAATGCCCCTTTGGTTTTAGGAACCATGATCAGGATGGTGAAAAAACCCTGGAAACGACAGCAGAAACTGGGCCAATGACCTCTTTGGTCTGGGAGTCTAGAGAGCGCATAATGGAGATCAGCAAGGTGCTGGGAAGTCACTAAAAGATTGAAGGTGAGAATCAAGAAAGAGACAAGGAACAAAATTTGAGCTTGAAACCTTGGGGCACCACCTCTTGCACCCAAGCATCAGGTATGCAAGATTTTCAAGTGTCTTCAAAGACCAGTAGACATCAGTCAGCTCTATAAAGTGGAGGTGCACTTTCATGCCAAGCAGGGCTTGGCAGTGGATATGGCCAGATTTGAATGTTAGGTCTTGCAGATGGAGAGAGAGCCAAGCTGGATGGGTCTTACTATGGAAGTTATAGGCATTATGAAGCAAAAAGGATGCTTATGAGAGGTGGAAAAAAGGAAGAGGACTTGCATGGTTGCTCTTCAGGCTTCCTCCTAATAGTATCCAACATTGACCAAATGTGACCAATGTGAAGGATCCAGCAAGTCATCTAATAGCGTTGAACCTGAAAAGCATTCACAGCTTACTTAGCCAGGACCAGTCTGGAAAGCAATCAAGTAGTGCCCAGTGGCTGAAGAGAGGTTTAAGATCATGTTGTGATGTCTGATCCAGCGGGGTCTAGTAAGACCAAAATAAAAAATAAAGACAATTGTGCAGTGGCTGTAAGAACACAAAAAGACCGCCTGCAATGAAAATGCAAATAAATCTGGGTTGAAGAGAATAAAAAGATGCTAGTAAAAAATGAGCTTTAAGTCTTAGGTCAGTGGTGCTCAGAAAAGGCATCTGTGCTTCTAAAATACAAGCAAAAAACTTAGGCATACTGGTAGTAGGAAGGGTATACCTTGGGTTTACCTACAGTCTTGTTTGCCAGTGTCCAATTCTCCTGTATATGGCAGTATAACCCAAAGTTTTAAGACTTCCTACATGCCTCAATGGATGAAGGATGAGAAAGAACAGTGCACGTTTGCTTGATTATCAAATTAGTGAATTAATTGCAGGAAACAGTTTATGCACAGGTGCTCTTTGCTGACTTTGCCCACCACTGTCTAGAGCCAGTGAGGTAAAATAAAATTCACACCTAGTACTGAGCTTTCAGTTTTGGGAAGAACTACTTTTTTTACAGTCTTTTCTAAAGTAATAATACCTAAGAAAAAGTACACAAGTAAAACTATAAACTAAGAAAGTATAGGAACTGTTACCACCTTATCCAAACTATCTATTATCACAGACCCAATTCCAACCCCTCCTTCTTCTCATTGGTATACATTGTACTTGGTCAGATTTCATTTTATAGGGACACGGTACTCCACTGTAAATAACAGGTTATAATCTTACAGAAATTCCATTCAATTTAGTTCTATGTCTTTTAGCCATTGGGTGCAGACTTTGCAGATTTGGAGGGTTCCGTTTCTGATATCCACTTTATAAAAGGAGTTTGGTGTCTTTACTGACTGTTGTTGTACAGTTGCTTTTGCAGTAAATAGTAATTATATTTAACAATTAGTAATCACTCCAAAAAATTTTAGAATGGTTATGGAGAATAAATAAATCAAAATTCAAATATCTATAACTAAAAAACATTTTTTTTCTTTGGATAAAGTCATGTAAAAGAGTTGTACAGTATATTATTTTTGAAAGGGAAATCCAGTTACAACAGAAACTTTTTTACCAACAAAACAGCATCCAATTATCTGTATATGAAGATTCATCTGGGAAAGAACCCAAGGAGTAGCCTATTAACTAGCAATAATAGATCAATAGAGAAGAGGCAATCTTCAGCTTTACTGTGCTTTGGGGATTCTTATACAAAGAAGTCAAAACATAATTTCATTTTAAAGCAGATCATAATTGGTTTAAGTAGATTATATTATCGTATTGGCACAAAAAACACACACAAAATAAACTTTGTTTTTAGTGATTTTGCTCCATTTGCTTTAGTTGATGATCCCACAATGATTTTTTGTACTTGCACTTTCCTCAAGAAAAATGGAATTCTGTGGTATTGTGAGCACACAGAATGTCAACTCATGGATCTCAGAGGCATTCAGACTTACAGTATATATATCAGATAATTATTAATAAAAACCTAATTAAAATTAAATTGGTTACATTTTTGTTCATATTTATTGTTTTTTTTTTCTTATTAATTTATTACATAAATTGAAGATGTACATAAATGTACAATCTTGGTTTTATCAATCTCCACAATTTGTATTAGGCTATATAGGTACACATCTGCTTTTTGTAACAGCTCACTATTCATAACTTTTATATCCTTTACTTTTTATATTAAAACTATATAATAAGACACAATATCTATTTCAAATTGTTGTAATACCTCTAATGTTCTATCAGGGGATTTTACCAAATAGAGGTATCCAGAGCATGGAGGTGGCTCCAAGAATGGATTAAATTAATTTA